AACAGGTAGCACTTCTGAGAAGGCTACCTTGGAGGTCCTGGACCTAAGTTTCCTGCCCAGCATCCTAAATTTCTCCTCCAGGACCTCACGACTGCATTTCCCCACATCGTTGGTGCCGACATGCACCACGACCACTGGCTCCTCCCCAGCACTATCTACCAGCCTATCTAAAACACGCGTAATGTCCGCTACCTTTGCACCAGGCAGGCAAGTCACCATACGGTCAGTACGCGGGTTCGCCACCCAGCTGTCTACCTGCCTAAGGATTGAATCACCCACTACCAAGAGCCCCCCTCCCACCCTGCTCAGGGATGGTTCCTTGGTGCAAAAGGATACCCGCTCACCAGCTGGGGAAGAGGTCCCTTCTGAGGGCACATTCCCCTTATCCTCAGCACGGTGCTCTGTTTCCCCTGGACCTTCATGCTCCCTGACAGCAGCGGGGCTGCCAGATCCAGAGTGGGACGTATCTAACAAGTCCCCGAGAGTCTTTTCTGTGCACCTAACTGACTGTCTCTGCTTCTCCAGATCAGCCACCTTGGCCTCAAGGGAGCACACACGTTCCCTGAGAACCAGGAGCTCCTTGCACCGAGCACACACCCAAGACTTCTGTCCAGTGGGCAGATAGTCATACATGTGACACTCCGTGCAAAACACTGGATAGCCCCCAACCCCCTGCTGGCATTCTGGCTTCATAATTCTTTTAAAATAAGTAAATATAATCCCCCTTTTAAAACCCTTTGGATTTATGTGGTTCTCCATGTCGAAGTCAAATTACGGGGAAGACAAAGAGCCTAGGGCTTTCGCTTTCTGGCTCTTCTTGGGCTTCTCACAGAGCCCCTAGGCAAAGAGCCACAGGCAAAGAGCCCTTTCGCTCACCCTTTGGCTCGTGCCAGAGGCTCATGCCTCTGCCAAGGTGCTTTCTTAAATACTGAATTACAGTCAGTCACAGTCAAACAATGCCCCTTCCTCTCCCTCTCTCAAGCAGCCAGGACTCTGCAACAACTCTAAGCGCTTTCACACACTCCCAGACCAGTTCTCCCACACAATATCCTCAGCTGAATCCCCTCAGCTGAAAGCAAGTAAAAAAAACACTCACCCCTCTGTCTCCTGCTCCTGCTCAGAGCTCAGCTGGGTCTACACAGCATCACCCTCCACGTCTGCATACTCAGTCCATCGATATCAACAGCCGATATCGACAGCCGCTCCCCCAGAGTCTTCCTACCTCCCCCACCGTTGATGTCGTGGGATCAAAGACAGCTGAGGTACCTCTACAGGCTTACCCACTGTCCATGCCGTGGTTGACTCCAGCGGGCTATTCTGATTGGGATCGCTACTCGACCCACTCGGTTCATAGGTCGAGATCCCCACACAAGTTGAGACCTTCGACATCGCTGTCGCGCCCTGCTGTAGACGATCCGTCCCAGCTATCTCCAGCTATCCGTATCACCAGCTATCTGTTTATAGACTATTGGCTTCTGGTAGCACCTGCAAGGAACGCCCTGGTCTCCAATGTCACAGAGACTCTAGCACTATTGGGGAATCTGGGCCTCCGAGTCAATCATCAAAAGTCTCAATTGTGTCCTGTCCAGCGCATACAATACATCGGCGCAATACTGGATTCTCAGACATGCATGGCTTACCTGCCCCACGACAGGGCAACAGATATCGTCTCTGTAATGATTTCATGTTTAACTGTGTGTGTGTGACTTTAAAAGGTTTGGTTGCATGACTGTGTGATAGTCTAGAGTAGTGGAAACAAGCAAGTGGTGTGATTGGTGAGTGACAGAGAGGGGGAGGGGTTTTGGAAGTGATGCTGTGTGGAGGATTTGTATGTCTATCAGGGGTGACAGTTAAAGAAGACAGTTGAAGTTTCAGTTTTGTTCTGGGGTTAGAGAGGAAAGCAGTTCGTTCTGAGGTCTGAAGGAGAGACCTTCTTGTGCGTGATAGAAGAGATTAAGTTCTGTGTATGAAGAAGCGTTGAATGTATAAGGAAACAAAAGTTAAATAACAGTCTGAGTGACAGACTGCAGTGAAACAAGAAACATTTATGACCCTGAGTTAATGAGTTACAATGTTACTTGAAAGATCCCTGTCAGAAAAGGGAGCAGATCTTATGTGAGACTTAAAGCAAGTGTTAAAACTATTCACAGTACCGGTTACTTCGTTCTACTATATTATTTACAAATTATTTTAATAAATCTACTTTTATTCAAGTCTGCCAGTTCTGAAAGAAATAATCCCTCAGACCACATTAGCTCCTAGAAAGCCTAAACCCTCGACTTACCTACCCAGTGATAGATATATTGTATTATAAAGGTTTGGGAAGCCTTAAATTTCCTGGTGGCAGCCGGATTACCCAGTAGAGAAAAACATAAAGAACCCTTTTAAAGTAAAACCAGACCTCCCCAGTTAAGGGGTCGTCACAGTCTCCTTAGCCACAGTCGTCCATACCCAGACCTCTGTCACTGCCATCCAAGTTCAGAGGCTGCTTGGCCTGATGGCTGCAGCAACGTCAGTTCTTGTCTTTGCAAGACTAAAAATGCACCCTTTACAACTCTGGTTCATCCGCAATTATGACCTGTGGAAAAACGCACACACTGTCGTCCTATTCCCTCCTCCCAGCATACAGGACTTTTTACTTTGGTGGTCTGTCCCTTTGAATATCCTCCAGGGAGCGCCCTTCCACCCTCTGTCACCCGAGGTGACCATTACGACGGATGCTTCCCTAACAGGATGGGGTGCCCACTCCATGGGCCTCTCGGTTGGAGACAAATGGGACGCACGGATGAGGAAGCACCACATAAACTTCCTAGAACTGCTGGCTATACGACATGCAGTAGCCACCTTCCTACCATTGATCAAAAGAAAATGTGTCACGGTCCCTCATGGACAACACCACAGTGCTTTCCTACGTCAACAGGCAGGGAGGCACAGTGTCCCTTCGCCTATGCAACCTTGCCATCCAATTGTGGGACTTATGCATCGCCAACAATATATTCCTTGTGGCCACTCACATTCCGGGTAACATGAATGTGCAGGCAGACCATCTAAGCCGAGCAGGACTCAGCCTCCATGAGTGGGGAATGAACCCAACATACCTCCTCCCACTCTTCCACAAATGGGGAATTCCCCAAGTCAGTGTCTTTGCCACACGAAACAACAAAAAGTGTCCTCTGTTCTGCAATCGAGGAGGCAAAGACCCACAATCTCTGGGAGACAGCCTCCTTTATCCTTGGTCTACGGGACTCCTTTACCTGTTCCCCCCCTTACCTCTGCTTCTGAGAGTGGTCCGCAAGATTCTCAAAGACAACGTGGACTGTATCTTAATAACACCATGGTGGCCAAGACAACCTTGGTTTTCAGCAGTCCTCGAGCTATCACAGGGAACTTACCATCAATTCCCTCCAGCTCTGGACCTCCTCCTCCTCTCCGACTCCCCCGTCCTACATCACAACATACCACAGCTGAAATCTACATCACGACATACCACAGCTGAAATTGACGGCATGGAGAATAATGACACTGGCTTCTCCACCCGTGTAAGGAATGTCCTGTTAGATTCCAGGAAACCCACAACACGGAGGTCCTACGATTATAAATGACGTAGGTTCTGTTCTTCGCTTGGAGATGACGCCCCTTGAGCCACCTCTGTGGGTCTCGAACGAGTCTTCCAATTCCTCCTCACCCTAGCTGACTCGGGACTTTCCCATTCAACGTTACGAGTTTATTTGGCCGCTCTTTCGGCCTACCATGTTCCAGTTGACGGATGCACTTTGTTTTCTCATCCATAAAAGCTTCAAGCTCCGAAAGGCTTTCAATCAGTCTTCAGTTTCCTATTTCAAAGTCCCAGTTTGTGAGGAGAAACTCTAATCTGACCTGGTGCCTTTATCCAGACATAATGGCAAACTCAAATTTGACTGAAAATTTCTTAAACTTTGAGGCTGGCACCATTTTTTTAAACATTTACCTGGAAATGCATGCCACTGAACTGGACTTACAATTTAGTAGATTTGGGCAGAACCAATTCTATAGAGCCCTTTGGCTGAATCTACTTACACCAGACTGCAGGTCATAAAGTGTCTGAGTTACTATAATATTAAATACAGCATGGGAACGGCTGCTTTCCTCATTCATGTTGGTTGCTGCAACTGTTCGGGACTTGTTCCCTTCTGACATCAATGACTCAATATCCTGAAGCAAATCATAAAAGAAACAATGGATACAACAATGAACTTGTTCCTCCCATTAAGCTATATTTCCAACTTACTCCAAATACCATGTCAGTCCAACATTACAAAATGTGAAACAATTCTGAAGTGCATTTTAAAATCAACATAATCTTAACTATTACCTGCTACATAGCATATTTTTGGCCTCCTTCACCATGGAACTCTCTTCCACTACAGACTCACTAAAATCCCAGCATAAATATAAACAGATTGCTTACCAGTAACTGGTGATCTTCGAGTGGTCATCTGCATTCACAGCACCCACCCTCATTCCCCGCTGCTGTCAGCTTCTACATTTTTGAATACGGGTTGATTTGCGGCGGTTTGTAAGAACTGGTGGGATGTCCGCGTCCACCCCTCTGGGCATGCGCGGTGGGGTTCCTGTGCATGCCCGAGGGACTGGGTGCGAAAATCCGTTAAAAGAGCTTGCTACAGCACCGATCAATCCAGCGCGTGCGCACTAGATCCCATTGGTGTGAATGCACAGATGACCACTTGAAGATCACCAGTTACTGGTAAGCAATCTGTTTATATTTATGCTGGGATTTTAGTGAGTCTGTAGTGGAAGAGAGTTCCATGGTGAAGGAGGCCAAAAATATGCTATGTAGCAGGTAATAGTTAAGATTATGTTGATTTTAAAATGCACTTCAGAATTGTTTCACATTTTGTAATGTTGGACTGACATGGTATTTGGAGTAAGTTGGAAATATAGCTTAATGGGAGGAACAAGTTCATTGTTGTATCCATTGTTTCTTTTATGATTTGCTTCAGGATATTGAGTCATTGATGTCAGAAGGGAACAAGTCCCGAACAGTTGCAGCAACCAACATGAATGAGGAAAGCAGCCGTTCCCATGCTGTATTTAATATTATAGTAACTCAGACACTTTATGACCTGCAGTCTGGTGTAAGTAGATTCAGCCAAAGGGCTCTATAGAATTGGTTCTGCCCAAATCTACTAAATTGTAAGTCCAGTTCAGTGGCATGCATTTCCAGGTAAATGTTTAAAAAAATGGTGCCAGCCTCAAAGTTTAAGAAATTTTCAGTCAAATTTGAGTTTGCCATTATGTCTGGATAAAGGCACCAGGTCAGATTAGAGTTTCTCCTCACAAACTGGGACTTTGAAATAGGAAACTGAAGACTGATTGAAAGCCTTTCGGAGCTTGAAGCTTTTATGTCACAAATGGCATACAGTATGTTACATTACTTCTTTACTGTTAAAGAATGTAAAAGTAACTCTACAACAAGACTAATTAAAGTAACTGAGATAACTGAAGAACATCAGTATACTTCCAGCTCTTCTCATTGTTATTGCATTGTGTAAAGTTTTTACAGGTCCTATTAATGTTTCTCTCTGTGTTCTTAATTGTTTCTGTTTAGAACTCAGGGGAGAAAGTGAGTAAAGTCAGTCTGGTAGATTTGGCTGGAAGCGAAAGAGTATCTAAAACAGGAGCAGCGGGAGAACGTCTGAAAGAAGGCAGCAATATAAACAAGTAAGGGTGCTGGTGAAATTAACTTTCCAAAGAGACATTCCTATACTTATCAGAAGCCTTTTTGGATAAAGATTCTGATCAGTAGTCTGCATTCTAGTTATGTCTTCAGGTGTTAAATAAAATAGCCCCTTTTCCTCTAGGCTTTTTCCAGTAATGACTAAAGTAAGAACTTTTAACGTGGAGTGACAGCAGCAGTCCTTTTAATTAAAAGGTGTTCCCAAATTACAAGTATCGTTATGCACCCATTTGCCCAGGCAACTGTGGGTGTCGCATCAGCTTGCACCACAAAGGGAATGTGAATCCTGCAGTGTTTCAGAGTCCTTAGAAGTCTCACTGCAGTGTGTTATAAAAATGGAAGAGTAACTAACAGGCAGCAAGCCAAAGTTTAAGGGTGTGTAGCCTTTGAAGGAGGCTGGGCCTCTCATAACTGAAGCAACAAGTAGTTACATGACACTTTAATATAATAACTATTGTTTCCTTTCACAGAAACAAGGAGAGTTAACAACGCTTTTAATCATAGTAATTTCTTTAGGAAGAAAAGCTATACAGTGCTGACCTCAAAATTTTTAAAAGCTGCCTGATTTGCTTCCTATAAAGCTGTACTGTTTTCATAAGAAGCAACCGAAGTCATAAATATATACTATTTAAATAGCTTAATAATAGCCCCCCCCCCAAAATCTATTCAAAAATATTTAATGGGGGCGAAAAGGTGTATTTTGACACTTTGCTTGTGTGTGCCACTCCCTTAACTAAGCTCAAGGCCCACCTAGTGCAGCGTTGTGTTTCAAGAGTGGCCAGCCAGATGTCCCTGAAAACCATGCAAGAAGACTATTGCCCCCCCTCTCTCCTCTTTCACTCATGAGGAAACAGTCGCTTGTAAGAACAGAAAATGTATTGTGTGATGTGATGCTTTGATATTTTCTGTATGAATTATCTGTTTCAAGTTGAATCTGGGGAAGTCAGAAAGTTCTGTGTGTCAAATTATGCTTTGCCCCACCCTAGATTAGGCTCAGGTCAGCCATTCAAAAGTACCAATTTGCAACAACAGACCTGTTGGAATTGGTACAATGAATACTGTATGTTACCACTGTGTAAAGAGTTTTATGACTGTGTTGCTGCATTTCTAAAACCAATTAATAACCTCCTGTGTTGAATTTATTTCACTGAGTCTTGCTGGACTGAAAGTTTTATTTATTGATTGAAAATATTTCTGTGCCTCCTTTCCATCAAACTTGGGGTCCCCAAGGCAGCAAACGAACATTAAAACAGCTTTATATAGTGAGGGAATGCCAAACAAAAGTCTTCGCATACTGGCAAAAGGGAGTGATCGGACAACGAGGAGTCTCCTGCTCGAGCGCCAATCGGCATGCATATTTTTACTAGCAAAAGACAATGATAATAGGGGACAGATAATTCTTCCGGAGGAGGGAATTCCATAATTTTTGCAGAACAGCCAAGAAAGGGACCCTTTCTCAGGTTGCTCCCCATCTGGCCTCAGATGATGGGGGTATTCAGAGCAGGGGCCCATAAGATAATCTTAATGGTTAGGTAGGTTCTTAGAGGAGTAGGCAGTCTTTTACTGTATGTTGCCACCAAGCTGCATTGGGCTTTAAAGCACTTTGAATGCCTGGAAGCAGACTGGAGCCAGTGTAGGTAAAACAAACTGGAGTGATACGATCCTTATGACCCACTGCAACCAGCATTTTTATTGCAGCGTTCTGTACCAATTGTAGATTCCAGACACACTTAAAGGGCAGCCCCATGTAGAATGCATTACAGTAGTCTAATCTAAATGTTACCAGAATATGCACCACAGTAGCAAGATCTTTTTTTGCCCAGAAAAGGCTGTGGCTGGCTTACCAGCAGAAGATGGTGGAAGACACTACTGGCCACCACCATCACTTGCTTATTCAACAGGAGGGAAACAAGATGAAGCCTTGTAGGCCATCAAAGTCCAAGGGGCTGAGCAGCAGTCCCCCAGCACTACCTTCTGCAAGCTTTCAGGTTGGACCAAAACCATCTCAAGACAGTGCCTCCCAGTCCTAAACCCCAAAATGTGGTCCAGAAGGATACCCAATGGCATTGAAAGCCGCCAAGTGATCCAGGAGAACCAAGAGGTTTACACTCACCCTATCCATCTCACAGGTCATCTGCCAGGGCAACAAAGGTGATTTCAGTCCCATAATTAGGTCTGAAACCAGGTTGGAAAGGATCCAAACAATCTACTGCATCCAAGAGTCCTTTGAGTTGTCCAGCAACCACTTATTCAGTCACCTTACTCAAGGATGGTACATTTGAGACGATTCAAAACTCCTGGGTCCAAAGTAGATTTCTTTAGGAGTGGATGCACCAATACTGGTTTCAAGGCAGAGATGACCACCCCATCTCTCAAGGAGGCATTTACAGTCTCCTGGACCCGGCCAGCCAGACTCCCCATGCAGATTTAAGCAGCTGGGTGGGGCAAGGTGATAGGTCTCAGGCTTCCATGAATCCTTTCCACATTCTCAAATGGAACATATTGAAAGGTATTACATGCAGCTGAACATGCTGGTACCCTGGCATCATCTGATCATATCACTGCTAATGTGGAGTCCAAATCAATGTGGATGTGAATGATTTTATCTACGAAGTGTTGAACAAACTGGTCACAACAGGCCACTGAGCAGTCCATCTCCCCCATAGGCCAAAATGAGTCAGTACTTGAATTAACTTTAGTTGAGGGTGCTAATGAAATATGAAAGAACCCTGTGGCCGTAGAATCCTGTGGCTGTACATATCAAAAACAAGAAAACACATTAAAACAGGAAAGTTACTGTGATGGACAGGAGGCTGTCCTTCCCCTGAGAGGAAAAACAGCCACTCAGCGGTTTCATCCCTGAGGCTGTGGGAGTGCTGCTTCAGCATCCAATCACCTTTCAGAGAGGGGATGGAATGTTGGAGGGAAGTGCAGCAGGAGTTCAGGTCTGCCTCAAGGAGAGTGAAGTGATGACATGGGTCTCTCTCAGCAAGAGATCCGTTTGAAGGGTAACTCTGTCTGGTAGCATGGTAGAGTGGTTTAGCTCAGCCTCTAGGAGAGGACACCGTAGTTATGAAGCCTGTTACAAGCAGATTTTATACCATTTAGTCTGACTCTTGGGAAAGGACAGGCTGATGTGGGTGGAATCCTGTGTGTGTGAGAGAGGAGCCAACCTTGGGGCTAGTCAGTGAAAGCCTGTATGACGGATCCCCTGTTACTCTTCCCACTCTGAGGCAGATTTTTCCCAACAAAATCCCTAGTTCCCTTCAGGTCCCAGTAGTGTGGTAATATTCGTGGTTTTATACATCTGAATGTCCCACCCTGTGACAGAATCTAATTTGGCTTTTGCCCAGCCCAGGAACTCATCAGGAGAAAAGGAGCCCTTTTGTTAGATCCCTTGGAATGGCACTGGAGACTGTTTAACAGTAAACGATAATATTTTATTTAATAGGCAGGGGTGGTATGGGGTAGTCAGGAATTGGAAAGGCTGAGATAAACATTGCTGGTAAAACAGTATATATTTCAGTTGAGAGACAAGATGGTGTTGTAGCAGCTTATTTACACAAAGTCTCGGTTCTCATCAGTAAGAGGTGGTTGACTGAGTATTTTAGTTTTAGTTACAATGTTTCTGCATATAGTTTCCTAATAATTGTTCAGGTTTTCTGGAAAGGTCACTCTTTTAGTGTATCAAATTCTTTCCCCTTTTCTGAAATCACAATGTGTCTTCTTTCCCCTGAGTAGTTTGTAACTGTTTCCTTGTACAACAGACCAGGGACTGCCTCAGGGCCAATTCCCTCTTTAACTGGACAGGACTTGTATTTCTTCCCTGAAAATATAATCCTGTTCCTTTTCGCCTGATTGGGAGTTTCAGCCTGCTACCCAGTCACTCTTTGTCAAAATCTCAAACCCCAGTTCTTGGTGTCTGTGTGAAAACGTACTTCAACTTAAGCTGACACTAGACTCTGAATCCTTAGATGGAATTCTTCCTCAGGTTATGTTTAACACAGTTAAGACCAGACCAGAAGTCTCTCCCTTTATTCAAAAGGTGAACCTGTCTAACAGACTTTTAGTCAGACTCTTTAGACATCCACTCCTTCAGCTGAACTTTTAGTTTACTGAACAGTAACTGCTGCTGAACTGCCTCTCTGACTGACTAGATAGTCTTCCTCAGCTGGCTCTAGCCAGTCAGAGAAAAGGAGAGCCTGTCACTCAAGTTCAACATTCTAGAGCAGAGTTAACTATTCACCTCCCTTTTCTGACTTTACTGCACAGGAAAATAGTGTTTTAAACGTAGTCTGTCACAGCCTGTTTTTACCTAAAAGCATTAAAGAGAATTCAAACCACACTCTGAAGCCACAGCTAGCTTAAAGGAATGTGCCTCAGCCAGGCTTCTCCTTTGATTGTCTGGAGAGCTGAGCTGCTGATCTGTTCTTTAAAACTCACCTATAAATAAATCTTATTTGTTATTTGCATACAACTCCTGCCTTCGAGATCCTTGTGTTTGTTTTATTCACCACAAAACCTCATGGTGGTGGACCCAAGGCCTTTACACTTGCTACCCTAAGAACATCTTGTAACTGAAGAGAAGGTTTACAGTTCAAAACAAACCTCGTTCCCAAGAATCATAAAAGGCTGTGTGGGTCCCCTCAGTTTGTAGAAAGGGCCTCTCACAATCACCTTGTATGAAAGAATGGGTGACTTAATCATTCTGTCAACTTGAAACTGTATTTAATCATTTGTGTACGGAATGGTGCATATTGAGGCTATCTGTATTTGTGAATACACTGTCCATTCTGTTAAACATTTCCTTCACTCTACTTTGATTCAGGAGTTTTTTTGCGTGTAGGTTAATAGCATGTGGCCAAGCATTCTCTGTAATATAAAGATAAAATATGAAGCCTTATGGACATGCTTCATATTAGGCTGCTAAGGAAACACATTTAAAGGTCAGAGCAAACGTCTGTCTGTCAGTGACTGACAACACAAACACAGCTAGTTCTCATGCTCATGTGCTACACTCTCTCTTCCCCTCATGCATGTTGTGTGATTGAAGGCTGCTTCGTTTAAGAAGCCTCAAATCGAACCAGTTTTCCATATCAGCCGATTTTAGGTGCCAGTGTGAATAACTTTTTGTTCATTGTCATTGTACTGTGCAGGCCAGCCACTGGAAGATTTTTTCAGCTAGGCTAGCAACAGAGTTGGAGGAGCCCTCCCAACTGGAGCTCCTGGAGCTGTTTTCTCACGGAACAGTCATGTGTTCCAGGGAGGGGCTCCGCACACTTCCTCAGTTCTCTCTTCGCCACCGCTGGAGAAGAACACTTTGGGCTAGCTCCTCAACTTTAGTCAATGAAGATGTCACTGTTCAAAAAAATGCTCATCATGTTCGACTAAAATGACGAGGACAGATTAACATGCTGTCTGTCTCCTCTGGGTGAGAGTCACAATGTTTTGGCATGTAAAATCTGCCAGCAGTTTACCCCAAAGGCTAGAGCCAATTGCACCTCCAGACTGAAGGCTGCTTTATGGGAAAAGGCACTTTCTGCCTCAATCTGGCAGCAAAGTCACCAGCCCTGGTACAATAGACAAAATTTTCGGCACCAAAACCATCCAACCGCACTTCCCGTGCTCCATTGATACAGTCAACTTGCTTGATTCCAAAGTTGGACCCAAACAGAAGGCATTCTGAGACACCTAAACATCCTCAGAACCAATCATTGTTGGAACCACCACCCCCTAAAAGCAAAAAGCAAAACACAAACCTCATCAAGCAGGCTCTGTGGGCCCAGTGAAACTTCTGGAACCAGCACCATCAGACCCAAAAGACTTGGTTCTGTAGCCAAGATTGGAGCCTGGAGAATACAGGACTCCGCATACTCAACCCCCAATTTGCCTTTCACCTTCCAGGCCCCCATCAGTGTGTAAGCTATTACCTATGCATACATCAGCCGATCAATTTTAGAGACCTTCCGTTCCAACACAATGGACTCATCCTGACCCATTACAGTAATACTCTTGCTGTCAGCTGCAATATTGTTCTGGATGGTCTGAAGCATTGGAATCTTGTATGGAACTGACAGCTCATATAATGTATCAACCACAGACACCTAGTTACTGGACACACAATTCAGAACATAGACATTACGGTTCCGAAGACGAAGAGAAAAGAAGATCAGTAGTCAGCTCAGGCATGGCATCAGAACCATCCCCTGACAACAGCTTTGGAGACCCTGACCCAGTCTCACCTAGTGAAGACCTAAGGCTTTACTCTGAACAAATGGTGAGGATGGCACAATCCTTAGATGTTTAGATTACTGCTACAGACGCAAAACCTAAAATACAAGATCTTAGGTCATCTTCACCCAGACACCCCAGGAACTGTGGCTTTTCCCATTCCGGAGGAAATCCTGGACATGGAGAAGTCAATCTGGGAAAAACCAGCCTAGCTTAAAAATCTTCCGGTGGATAGCCTGCACAGTACCTATGTGTGCCTGCACAGTAACAACTTGATGAACAACAGTTACAGGTAAGTGGAACCCTGTTTTTTATCCCTGCATACTGGCATTCTAAACGGGGGTTTAGACCAAGTTTTACAATCCACTTTGGGGAGGAAACAAATTCCAGTGTGCCCTGGCACCTATATGTGGTTATCATGGCAAGTTGGTTCTTGATTTGCGGCTTCTTAAGCCAGGAAGCCTTCAATCCTGCTCTGCGTGTAAACGAAGAAGGGAGGGAAGCACACAAAAACAAGCTGCATTTGTGCCCATCAGAATCACTAGTTTGTTGTAACATCTGAATGCAGCCGCTGTGCTGTTTCTTAGCTATTTAAATGATTATTATATAGTGCAGTAAATATATTGGACATAATATGGAATATGCCTGTGCAGTAAAGTCAGAATATGCAGTGCCGCACCTTTAAAGATAATTGTTTACTTTCTTTGCTTGAGCGTACTGATTGTTTTAAAGCCAAGTAGAATTAAAAGTTTACTACTCTCTAATGTTCGTGTATTAAATTATTGCTGGTTTGGATTGAAGCACTCTATTGTGGAACTATTAGGGTTTAAACGGTTATTTCTTTAAAACTGCATTCATGGTAAAATCCTACCCTTTGCTCCTTCTGTGTCTTGTGCTATCCAGTTTCTCAGAAGTCTTTCCTTTGACTGTTGTGGCATTACATAGCAGTCCTGTTACAACCTCCTCTTGGTGCTCCCTCTGACCTTGAAGTATGTTGCCGCTTGATAATGCTCCTAAGTTTCAGAGCCTGTAGGCTTCACAGAAAGGCCTTCTCAGTCTTTATAACCTCTGTGATTCGTGTTATGCTTGGAATTAATTTATCTTCACAAATTTGTTTTACATTACAGTCTGTTTTTTCTTCCAGAATTACCTTTTATTATAAATTTTGCCGAATCACGTATCTATGTTACATATTCAAGCTGATGGCAATTTGCTGCTTCCCTAGGTCACTCTCAACACTAGGTTTGGTTATTTCATCACTTGCAGACCAAGCAGCAGGAAAAGGGAAAACCAAGTTTGTGCCTTACAGAGACTCTGTACTCACCTGGCTTCTCAAGGTAAAATACAGTTCTCTTCTGCTCTTAAAGGATAATAGAAACCCCATGGAGTGATTTCTCAGTCCACTGTAACTAGTGTACAAGCATCTGATTTTTAATGAAGACAGAAATATCAGAAGTTCTTAGAATGACAGGATATACTCCTTTCCCTCCCTTGTTATGCCAATAATCTCCCCTGTTGCATAGGTTAAATTCTGCTTCCTGGGACCAGAAGGTAGGGCCAAAGGTAGGACCTTCCCTGTAGTTCCTGGTTGTCTTTTTGGATCTCTGCAGACTGGGGGTTGTCTATGTCCTGTGTTCCATTTAATGAGGAAATTTCTCAGGATGTGATGCTTGCTTCAATTAAAGAATTCTTTCCTACCATCTAAAAGCAGTCCTTCTGCTGTGAAGAAAAGAGAATCATACTCTTCAGATTCTGTTTTCTGTGTGGACTATGCCACAACCACTAAAGAACACACAAGCCTGTTTCCATATGCCATCCTTTGGAATATGGTCTCCATAGGGAGGGCACAGCTTTGGCCTTCTTCCAAGCTGTCCATTCCTGATGGTATCTTGGCCCATGTAGGAGGGCTGCCATATGTGGAAAGGTCCCTGCAGAGGAAATTTGTGACATTCTTTGGTCCTTCATCCTCACTACCACAAGCTATTGCAAAATAGATACCTTCAACATAGGTGAAGCTGCCTTTTGAGTGCAGGTTCTTTTAAAGAGTGCTCACTCCATGAGGACATTGGCCTCTACTGCAGTTTTTGAAAGTGGGAGACGTCTTATTTCTGTGCCATAGGATCTATAGCTTCTGAGGATTCTTGTATGCAATGGGAGAAAGAATTTTGTCTGATGAACTCTTATGGATAAGAGGTCATTCTGTTGCCTTGAGTAGTAAGGCAAGTAGTCATTGGCTTTAGCAACATTTATTTTTCTAAATATTTTATCTGACTTTTCTGGGTTCTCAGATTAGCTTATAAAGTAAAATACAAATCAACAATACAAATTTAAAAAAATTTATGCAACAGATGGGCCCACAGTACAATCTTAAAACAGGGATGAGCCATGAAGTAGACTGAGGCTCATCCCACTGGCCCAGCCCACATAGAGATGACCACAGACTGCAGGCCATGATCTAAGAACCAAAGGCCAAGAGCACTTTGGCTTGTTTCTGGTTACAACTAGGCTTTAAGTTACCCACAAAAGGGGGAGTGACAGATGCTTATCCCACTTCTTACTCAGTTAGCTGAAACGTTCCCAATTTTCTGCCTTCTATATTATTTTTTGCTTACTGTAGAGGTTTGTTATCGCCTGTTTAATTGTTAAACTTTTTTTTCCCAGTTCCCATTCTGTGGTTATGTGGCCTTATAAATCTTTTCTGTAACTTTTAAAAAAACAAATGCAGTTGAGAAGTGCATCATAATTTTTGAACTAATGTGTTAAATATGATAAAATAGGACATTTAAGGGTTTTTCTTCCCCAATCTATTCTGATTATTTGATGCTTTCTACCATCAGTCTGGCTTATAGGGGTTCTGAATGGTTATATTTAATTCACCATCTGTTAATTGTTTGATGTTTTAGTTGTTTTAAGAATTGATTATATTACATGGTTTTAATTGTTCTTGTATTTGTTGTTACCCACCCTGAGACAGTTAGGAAAGGGTGGGATATAAATTTAACCAATAAACAAATAAAATAAATAAATAAATATACCACATAGGACAACTTGGGAGGAAATAGCCAAACAGCCATGATAGCTACAATCAGTCCAGCTGCTGATAATTATGAAGAGACACTCTCTACTCTGAGATATGCAGACAGAGCCAAAAGGATAGTTAATCATGCTATAGTAAATGAAGATCCAAATGCCAGAGTCATCAGAGAACTGCGTGAAGAAGTAGAAAAGCTTAAAGAACAACTTTCTCAAGCTGAGGTAAACATTGTCCGAATTCTACTCACCTGATAATTTTCAGTGACACACTGTATGCTTTTGATTATACAGCTCTTACAACAACAAATAGAAAGAGGTGCTTAATTTTGCTTTTTAAAATAGATTTGAAATAGATTCTGAAATGGTTTTGAGTTGGCTATAAGAATTGCACCTCACAGAATTGTTTGAAGATAAAATCTTTCTTTGAAATCCTCCTGGGAAGGGAAGAATACACAGGAGAGATACACTGACTGACAGGCCTCCCCTTCTTAAGAAAAAATTGTTCATAATTGTCATTTTCTGGCTGTTAAGGCTATGAAGGCACCAGAGCTAAAAGAAAAATTGGAGGAATCTGAGAAACTGATAAAAGAACTGACTGTCACTTGGGAGGAGAAGCTTAGGAAAACAGAAGAAATCGCGCAGGTATTTAAGTATTTCTGGCTTATATTAAATGTTTGGTCCATCGGTGGCTATTAACCACAAGGTATAGATAGGGACTCTGGGGCAAGTGATGCTCTGTATTTTTGGTGCTTTGGGGGGGGTCAATAGTGTGAGGGCTCCTAGTGTCCTGACCCCACTGCTGGACCTCCTGATGGCACCTGGTATTTTTGGCAGAGTGTGACAGAGTGTTGGACTAGATGGGCCATTGGCCTGATCCAACATTGGCTTCTCTTATGTTCTTATGTTTGATCGGTATAACTTAAACTAAATGATAGAACAATATTTGAGTCCAGTAGCCTCTTTAAGACCATCAAAGTTTAATTCTGGGTATAAGCTTTCATGTGCATGCACACTTCTTCAGAATTAAACTAAGCGATATTATATAAAGGATATGAATGCACTTTACATTTCCAATGCAGGTCTGGCTGTGAACTTTGCTAGTACTTGCTGCATTTGTTTGGTTGTTTTTAATATTGTTTGTATAAACACTACCAGTAGGTTGCTAGCACAGACTTTCTGCAGTGCTTAAATGAAATAATGCTCTGGTATACTGTACACCAAAATAACAGCTGACTTGAAACTCTACTACAGTATGCAGAAGGCCAAAAGATCTCCAGTATGGCAAATAAGTTCAAAAGCTCTGACTTTACTGTTTTCGATGCTTGAGTACTAAATAGTGCACGCTCACTGCTGGTGATGGCATACTGGCCATAACTGAGGTACTAAGTAAGAAGTCCCTGGTTTGACCCTCATCACTGTTGTGTCCTCACTAAGGGGCAGTTAGCAAAACACTACACTTCATCAGTGTTCTATTCCCCCCAATTCTGCAATATGGAAAAACAGGTTGCTTACCTGTAACTGATGATCTTCGAGTGGTCATCTGTGCATTCACACCCCTGGGATCTAGTGCGCACATGCTGGATTGATCGGCATTGTAGCAAGCTCTTTAACGGATTTTCGCACCCAGTCCCTCGGGCATGCGCAGGAACCCCACCGCGCATGCCCAGAGGGGTGGGTGCGGACATCCTGCCAGTTCCTTCGAACCACTGCGAATCAACCCCTATGGAAAATGTAGAAGCTGACAGCAGTGGGGAAGGAGGGAGGGTGGTGTGAATGCACAGATGACCACTCGAAGATCATCAGTTACAGGTAAGCAACCTGTTTATCTTCGATGTGGCCTCTGTGCTTCACACCCATGGGAGATTAGCGAGCAGTGGCCTACCTGGAGGAGGGTGCTGGCAGGTCCTTACTGCGTCGCTGAAGATAGAATGTGATGTCCCATGTTGGTATTAGAGTTCTTAAGGACGTCTAGGGCATAGTGCCTCATAAAGGTGTTAGGCGTGGCCCAGGTAGCAGCTTTGCAGCTTTATAATTGCTAAATTGACTGATAAAATCCTACGAGAAACACATACCACCTATAAATCACGACTGTTTCATACTTGGGCACCAATCCTAGACTACCTGAAGTCGCAAGCTGTGATTCCCGCTACGGCTGATAATTTGGACCTGATAAATCTCTGATTAGCCTTATGTTAGGTCTACAGTCTGTTCTGTGGAGTGTAGTTATAGTAATTTATTCAGTTAGATCCTTGTTGTTTTATAAAGTAGCTTATATGAACCTTTTTTTAATTATGGGGGGGTGAGGGGAACCCGGGGGATTATTGAAGTTATTTTTAATGTAA